CTTGGTTTGGCTCTGTAATCATTAGTGGTCGTGGGACCAGTTTGGGCCCTACCTAAGCTGATCGAACGTTTTGTTTGGGTCTATACTCTAGCTGCACTGATGAGGGCTGGAAGGCCGAAACGGATCCGTCTGCAGATATTGGGATAATATCATGTATTTCATGGTGTACCGTATGTAAAGGGGTATTTATGTCGGGGAGAATGGCTGCACATTTAGACAAAGGATTAATAATCACAAAAGCTCTATACGAAACAAATATAATCTTCCATTAGCTAAACACTTAACGGAGCTAGACACACCATAACGATATGAGATTCATCATTATAGATAACTACTTCAGATGAAAGATGTGCAGAAATAAAATGGATTTTGAAACTTATGACTCACAAAATAGGAGCTAATAAGGACCTAGGTTTTGCTTCAGGCTTTACATTCACCAAATAATGTTTCATGACTCAGTACAGTTCCCGTTTTTTATTCCTGTAATTTATCATATGTCTCTATTTATACATATTTTATTATATATTGATTGATTTATCATTTCTTGCCTATTTTTGTTAAATAATTGTTTTGATAGCTCATTCTACTTTAATTAATTTTTATAGTCCCATTCGATTAATATCCACAGTTCTTGTAAATGTTCAGCTTCAATAAAGGCTCTATTCATTGTTACTTACATTGTTTATGTACAATAACTACACCACTCTTTGCTGGAATGTATATCTTTAGATACTCGTACGCTGATGAAGGTAGCAGGTGCTACCGAAAATTTTGTACCAATAAAAATAAATCTCTCAATAAAGTCAAATATATTATATTGCTCTGTATTTTTCAGTCATACGTGTAACGCTGAGGAAGGACACAGGTGTGTCCGAAATATTAGTTTTGAATAAATTTGATGTCTCTATTATGTCAACGTATGCAAACCGCAGCTTTTTCGCACTGCGGCAGTGCCGATAGAAAACAGCAGAATTTTGTTTTTGCTTAAAATTAGGAAGCTGTCAACTTGACTGATTCAGTTAATACGCTTTTAAAATACTTCACAAACAGATAGGCATACTGGTAGTATTTTCAGTGGTGTAACAGCTATGAGCTCCCAGTGGCTCCACGGGCCAGGCATTAAAGGGCCCAGGATATTATAAGCTTTTTCCAGATGCACAGGGGTGGCGCACGATTTGTCCCCGACAAGTGCAAAATGGGCATGGTCGGGCGTCGTAAAAAATATTTGATAATTTAGGGCTTACAAAGCTTATTTAATCGAGTTTAGAAACTACTAATAGGCCTATGTAAAAAACACATATAATTGTTTTTTCTCCCCGACGAATTGTGGTTTTTCTTCCCGATGGGGTGGGGGAGCTCTCTCAGACAGAGGGCCTGGCCCCTGTGCCAAAATACTTACTTAAAACATCAAATACGAAGAAGCGGTCGGGATTTTTAGGGGCCTCAAAGCTCCGTTCGGTTCCGCCACTGTGGCAATTGCGGTTTTTTTTTTTTTTAAAGATTTCGCTGACTACTACGCTTTGACACAACATGGTCATATATCGTACAACTAATGTTTTCGACTAAATCGTTCTGGGAATTATCGGTAATAGCATGGCAATGCCAATCCTTATATAGAATAACACATGCTGTACAGCATTTAAGCATTACAATTCCGGTTATTAAACGTTGATGATATTCGTGTCAGATGTACGTAGCCTTATTCAGATTAGGCAGCTACATAATATCTGTCTCTTATACACATCTAGATGTGTATAAGAGACAGCGTTTAAGC